TTTTCATAAAGTTTAATATATTAACTATATCATTTTCTGTAGTTCGGCTTTTTGGAAAGTTTGGTTCAAATGATCGTCGGAAAGAGTTGTGATGTATTAGTAATTTATAATATTTAAATTTAAATTTTTATTAAAATTAAAATTGATTTTTTTAATATTTAAAGTTTAAATGCTTATATTAAAAAAAAAAATTACATTCTGAATTTTATAGAAAAATTTTTTTATTAGAATCCTAAAGTAGTTTTGTTAGTAAAATTTTATTTTATAATATACACTAGTAATAATTACTAGTGATAATAAATAGCAAATTCTTATTTAAAAATAACAGTTTTAAAATATCTTTAAATATTCTTACAAAAGTTATTTTATAAATATGTAGTCTAGAAATCCATAAAAATTTAAAAAGTGTTGTACTATAAAATTAAAAAAAATTTTTAATTAAAGATCTTTTATTAAAAATAGACATAATCTGCATTATATAAATTTGAAAAATCATTAACTATAATATATTATATTTAAAGCCTACTATGATACATATACTTTCCTAATAGTAATTACTGAAATTTTGATTTTTATAATAATTTAACCTAATTGTATGATGATTATAATCATATATAAAACATAATTTTTTTATATACTGAGCAGTCTTTGCATAGTAAGCAAAGTTGTTTAACATAATAATTAGTATATAATTTAAGAATTTTAGAAAATTTGATAAATTTTTTGAGGTTATTTTTAATACTTTAAATAAAAAATAAAAAAATAAATAAAACTTGTTTATAGCAATGCATTTCTGAACTATATTATAAACATTCATTGAAATTTATTGGTTATTCTCTGAGTTTTAGAACATATAGGATTAAATTTTTATAGAAAAATTATTAAAGGTTTTTGAGAACCATTGTATTTAATTCAAAATTTTAATTTGTTAAAAAATTTTATTTTTGGTATTTTAAAATTTTATATAATAAAATATTGTAAAATTTATAAATGGTTCTCAAGAACCTTTAATAATTTTTCTATAAAAATTTAATTCTATATGCTCTAGGACTCAGAGAATAACCTCAATAAATTTCAATGAATGTTTATAATACAGTTTAGAAATACGTTGCCATAAACAAGTTTTATTTATTTTTATTTATTTATTTTTTTTACTAAGACCTAAAGTGCTAAAAATATATCAAATTTTCTAAAATTCTCAATTTATATGCTAATCGTTATGTTAAACAACTTTGCTTACTATGCAAGGACTGATCTGTATATAAAAAAATTATGTTTTACGATTATCATCCAATTAGGTTAGATTATTATGAAATTAAAATTCCGTACGTAGAAAAAGGATAATATATACAATTCGTCGGATCAGAAAATATTAGCATGTCGAAACGTGTTAGCAAAAAGGTACCTTATCAAGCTTTTTCTCAGTTTTTTATTGGCAAAGGTTAACTATTTAGTTCTACCACAAAAAGCATAGGGCTAGCACTGATTCTACCGAAGTAGAATCGACAAAAAAGCAGAAAATATTTAATAATATTGTACGCGTAAATACAGGAAAACAGTATACTGTGAGCGTTGCGCTTCCTGGCTCGATAGTTGAAAATGCTCAATCAAATGAACTTAAAACATATTTGGCTGGACAGGTAAAAATTTAGAGTTATGAACATTTATTTTAAATTTAATAATCTCTCTAATTCCTGTCGTGAAGCTTGCGCGTGCTTTCACGATATTTAATGTGGATGAAGTAGTCGTCTTCAATGAATCGGGAACATTGCGAAATTCAGATAAAAATCTGCAAGGAGAGCCCAGTCGTAAAAAAAAGCAAAGCGAAAATATTTCTTCCGATCCAAATATTTTTTTGGCCAGGATATTACAATATTTGGAGACTCCCCAGTGAGTCCTTCAAAGTCATCAATCTTATTATGATAAATTGTTACTAATTTGTTACGTCTAATTGAACATCATAAGATATTTACGCAAAGATATATTTCCCGTTCATCAAGATCTTAGATATGCTGGTACTGAAATTTGTATTTAAATTATATAAATGTTATTGAAACTCATATTATTTAAAATATATAGGCTTGCTGAATCCATTAGATTGTCCACATCACGTTCGTCAAGATGAGAAGTGTCCGTTTAGAGAAGGTGTCGTAATTGACAAAAAGATTAAAAAAGGTTCTTTGGTCAATGCTGGACTCACTAAGGTAAATTTCGTTATCTTACAAATATACATTAAATCACACATTCATCACCTTAACTCCCTATACAGCATGTAATAATTGATCGTTCAATCAAACCAGGAATTCGCGTAACTTTGGATATGGAGAATTATGATGTTGTTAAAGCTGGTAAATTTTATTCGTTAGTTTATTCTTTCATTTTCTTGATATAAGTCATTAATTCTTTTGTAGATGGGACCTATATTAAAGCTAAGGTGGTATCACCAAAAACTCCGCGACAAAATGGCTTTTATTGGGGCTATCAAGTTCGCATGGCAGATTCGATATCAAAAGTGTTCACAGAATGTCCATTTCCAGTATGTGCACTATATAATTGGCAAGAATTGTTAACTAAATGCCTTGATTTCTTATATCTAATGTAAGCAGTCTGGGTACGACCTAACTATAGGAACATCCGAACGTGGTAAGGTTGTTCATAACCCGGTAGATGAATTACCAGAATTTAGGTTTGCTTTATAGTATTATCTTTGTCATTGTTATTTAATGAAGTTATATAAAACAATTAAGTATTCTTAATAGCCATTTACTAATTATGTTCGGTGGTTTGGGAGGACTTGAGACTTCCATTGATGCGGATCAAGATTTAAAATGTACTGGCGAAGAAGCAGATGCTTTGTTTGATTTATGGATAAACACATGCCCTGGTCAAGGAAGTCGAACAATAAGAACTGAGGTGCGCTTGAGCATGTATGATTAATTATATATACATCTTGTGTGTAAATTATTTCTGTGATTTTAGGAAGCAGTGCTAATTACAATGGCAACTTTAAGAGTTGCAATTGTCAAGAAAGGAAGAACAACAAGTAAATATATTGATGAAAACTAAAGTGTAGAATACCGTCATTTATAAAAAAAAACGATTAGAAATAAAGATGCTGGTAAAATTTAACATTAATAGTGAAGGCTATTATTGTAGTCTTTTTATGTGAGTTTTCAGAAATTTTGTTACATTATAATTCTGATCTATAGGGAGATGACAAAAATATTTTCACATCTAAGGACTTGACTTATAACTTAAAACTTATTAATTAATTTATGTTTTTGATTTGTTTATATAAATTTTTATTTTTTAATAATTATATATATTTTTTTTGGTTTTTTGATTTTATTAACATTTTTGTTACATGTATTATTTTTAGATTATATATTTGCATAATTATTAAGTTATTTAATTTTTAGAATTTTAACAAATTTGATGTGTTTTTCAATTATAATCATTTAAACATTTTTTTTTGTTAATTTTTTTTTTTAAAAACAGACAAGACAAAAATAGTAGTAAGAAGCAAGAATTAATTTAGAAAATTTGTTTTGATATTTTAAAGAAAAAGAAACTAAACAAAAAATAATATAAAGTTTAATAGAAGTTTTTTTTTCTTTTAGTTAAAATACAAAGCACAAAACAATTTAGTTTTTTTTTTTAAAACTTTTTAGAAATTTGGGAAATTGTTAGAGTTTCTGTATGACAAATCAAATTAGGTTGCACAAAAACATATAAACAATAAAGTAAACAAACAATAGATTATGTTTTTTTTGGATAGATAAATAGATTTTAAGATAAACAATAATTATGCAATTAAACAATAATAGTAAAAACATATACATATTTTTAAAAAAATCTAGAATAATACTATTGGTATATACTAGTTAATTATCATTTAAGTTTAAATTAGAAGATGTATGAGTTATATAAATAAGTGTTATTTAAGTTTATTTGAAGAGTAGACAAAAAAAACTGTAGTTACTTAAATAACAATATATTGATTAAAGTATTTAAAGATATGATATTATACAATTTAAACAATATAGAACAAATAGCATACAGTACAGTAATTGGTAATCCAAATAAAATTACAAAACAGAATCTGTTAATTTATGATTAGGTTTTTGAAGTATTAAAATAAATTGAAACTAAAAATTTTGAAAAAATAATAATTAAAAAATAAGTAATGAAAGCAAGAATGATACAACACAATCTGAGAGCAATTAACTATCTAAGTAATATAAACAGTTTAGTAATATTAAAGAAAAAAAATAAAATAAAAGTAAAAAAAAAAGATATAAATATTAGGTCTTAACAAACTAGTTCAAAAAAATGAAGACAAGAAGAATCAATATGTTGCTTTTTTTGTTGTAAATTGAATAATAAAAAGAAAATTCAATTTGAATTTAAAATAATAAGTTGTTTATAAATAAAAAGATGTTAGTATTTAAAAAGAATAAAAAAAATTAGAAGCAGTACAGTATTTAGATTTAGAAACAGAAATTATTTAAAAGTAGTTTATAAATTAGTTAATAAAGAATAAGCTTATTAAAAAGAAAAAAAAATATCAAACAAAACTAGAAAAAAACTTTACTTTCTATACAGATAGATCTTTAAAACAAAAAAAAAACAAGCTCTAATTATATAGATGCAGAATAAATACAAATAAATATGAAAAAAGAAAATGTTTTTGATAAAGGCTTTTGAAATACAAAATTAGTTATCATCAATAAAACCAGAGCTTTTAGTAATATAATATATGTTGCTTATAATATTAAAAAAAAAGTTAAGATATTTACAGATAGTACAGTAGCTATTGCTAGCTTAGAAAGTAAAAATATAAGTTTAACATTTAAGCAATAATTAAAAAAAAAATTATAATTTAATTAAAAATATTAGAAGTAGTATAGACTTATAAAAATTAAAAATAAAATTAGTTAAGATAAAAAACATAATATAAATAAATAAAACAATAGAGTAGACAAATTAGCAAAAAAAAGATCAAGAATAAATAGCATAAATAGAATAGTTATAGAAACTTAACAAAAAACCAGTATTGAACTTTGTTAAAAAGAAAAAATAGTAAAATATCTAACTAAATAATTTATAAAAAAATCTTATATCTTAAAACAAATATAGAATAGAGATTTATTTTAGCAATTAAAAAGATAAAATTAGACAAGAATTTTGTAATTTATACTTGGTTACATCTTTGAAAAAAAATTAAAGATTAAAATAGAAGCAAGTACACAAGTATAAAAAAGAATAAACAATTAGAAATATTAATAAAATGCATAAATAAAAAATTGTTAATAGTTAAAGCTTAGTATAATGATATTCTAATTTTTATAAAAAACCAATTTGTGTTTTCTGTAAAAAAAACAATAAAGAAGACTGAAACCATTTGGCATTATGCAAATACTATGAAGAAGTTGGAAAATTTTAGAGAACAATTCAATAAATTTTGTATAATCAAATTTATTATAAGAAATTTAAATAAAAGTAGAGAAAGCATAGTTTAAAAAAATATTTTAGAACACATATATAAAAAAAACTTTTAGAATAAGATGTAGAATAATTAAAGGTCTAGTAAAAAAAAAACTACAAACCTTTTACAAAAGATGATCTGATTAAGCAAAAAAACTAAAAAATTCTTAGCAGCAGCAATTAATATAGCTTAAAATAGCTTTTATGAGAATATATAAAAAAATAATATAAAGTTTTTATATTATAGAAAAAGAATATAAGAATTGATATAAAAGCCAAAAAAAAACAGAAAAAGGTTATTAGTAAACAACTAGTAGTAGAAAAAAATTTTAATTAAATATAAAAAAACTTTTAATAAAATTAAGCTATTGTTAAAACTAAAAAAAAAAAAATTAAGAAAATTTAAGAAATATAACTTGGTTCAATAACAAATTTTATATATTATAAATCAAGACTATTTATATATAGCCTTATTAGCTAATTTGGTACAGTTTCTGAACAAGAATAAAATCTTTATATAATGTAACAGACTGTTTTTAGGCACTTATAAAAGCAGCTAGAGAATGTTGAACTAAAAATTTTGTTAAAATATGTATAAATTATGTACAAAAATTTTAATAAAGATTTATAACAAGGTTGCCAAAATGAAAAAAATTTAAATATTAATAATTACTATTGTATTTATATATAATAATCTTAATTATAATCAAAACATTAATTTTAGTACATCTTACTTATTTTAGTACATCTTATTTTAATTTTATTTAATTTATTTAAAACTCAATTAGCAATATTAATATATAATATTTACAACTTTATATTAGTTGATACTATATTAGTTAAAACTAGAGTTTTATATTAATATATTCATATTTTTAGCAACAACTCTTTTTAACAATTATCTAAATCAAGTTGATACTAAAAATAAATTGAAAACTCTGATTTCAAAGTGGATAATATTTTTAGTTTATACTAAGTAAACTTGCTGTCAATAAAGCTTAAATATATAAAACACTAAGAAGTAGGCAAAACTTAAGTAATTCTTACCTTAAGTTAAACTTTTTGTCTGGCAAACTTCTTTATATATTTAGTATCTAAACTAAAAAATATTCTAAAAACAAATAAAGATAAAATTAGTTTTTTGATTAAAAATATTAAAAGCAGAAGAAAAAAAAGAACAATTAAGAAATCTTTTCTTAATTTAGATCTTTACAACAATATATACATTCTCTTTATTTTTTTTTATTTTCTTTTTTTCAAAAAGTAGGATTTAGTTCATCCTTATCAAAAGATTGTCATTGTAATCACTTTTTTTTGTGATTATATGTTTGTTTAAACATGATGAATAAGAAATACAACAAATATATAAGTCAGCCAATTATATAGAATATATTGAAAAAGAATTTAAATTGAAAAGATTAAAAATATATTAAGATATGCATAAATTCTAAAGTCATATATATAATAATTTTTAAAAAAATAATTACAAAGATTTATAAAGAATTGAACCACTTAAGTGCACTATAAACCTTGGCACAGTACTTCAACTATTTAAAGATTTCTTCAATATGAAAAGTGCCTAACTCAAACTTTGTTCTATAAGTAAATACAGTTTTCTTTTTAATTAAGAATACTTAGTTTCTTTTTTTTAAGATGATTTTTTTTGGTTTTTTTTTATTTTATTAACACTTTTTAAATAATATAGTTCTATAAGAACTACTACAAAAAGAGTATACAACTGGCTATATATATAACTTTTTTATATTATTTATTTAAGAAGTTTGTTTAAAGGTTTTCTACTAGTTGCTATATCTAACACTCTTGCTTGGATGTTTTATTTAAATTCTCTAAACCTATAACCTGTACCAACTTCACTGAGTCATTTCAGATTCTTATCTCAATCTTAGAACTAATTTACTCTTAAGGTAAACCTTTTAAAGTCTTCTGTATTCTCATTTACAGCTGACTCAAATTTGCTATAACTAAACTAATACTTGCAGTTAGGACTAACTATTAAACTACTATACCTTTATAGAGTTTATATAGTACAGGACAGTAAAAGACATCCAATCAATACATATAGGTGTCAATTTTTGTGTAATTGATTTTGATTAGTTAAAAATATATATATTTTTTCTTTTTTTTATATTAAATGCTAATTTTTTAAATTTATATAAACTTTAATCTTTTATAACTTTTTTAAAACAAAGAATAAAAAAAATTCTCTAATAGAAATGTAGTTTATCCAAAAATCTATCAATTTGTCAGAGGTTTTTTTGATTTAATCTGTTTTAAAAAAGTTATAACACTTTAAAGTTTTTATTAATAAATATTGAATGTCTTTTACTGTCTAGTACTATACAACTTCAGTATCTACTTTTACAACCTTACTAGTAACTTGTTTATCTTTGCAAGTTCTTTTATGTTACTAATTCAGTAAGCTTTATATAATGTAACTTCATATCTGAATTAATCAGTAGCTAGGTTAGTGAACTTCTTTACTTAGGGGTTCTTGCTTATACAAGTCACTTGCTTTAGATTTTCTTTATCAGATCAAGATTTTTACAAATAGTACTGTT